CGTAACGGACAGATGATGATTATGTTCCTAGCCAGTGTATTCATGTGTGCTGGACTTGCCCGCCACCCCCGCTTTTTGAGCACACGGAGGCTGCGTTAATTTTCATCCACCACAAACTCCTCCCTCAATGAGATTTCTGTGGCCAGGGTCTATGCTGCTAGAAGCCAGCATACACCATGAAGTGTATCTAGTCCAGCGGTAGCAGAACTGGGAACAGAACCCACCACCTGCTCTTCCTACGCTAGACCCGGCTCCCCTCCCACAGCTAGAAAAGAGAACCCATGTCCTGCTGCTCTGACCATCAGACTCCACTCTCGGGGCTGGGAATGCAAAGCTTGGGCTTGTGATTCCCTTGCTCTGACCGCTAGACCCCACCATTTCCCTGAATGTGTCCCGAGCTGCCTGTCACACACTGTCCTCCATTGTTTGCGTCTGTGTCAGGCGGGGCAGCCAGCGCCGAGGGATCTGTCGCTGGAGCTGGTGGGAGGGGATGAATGGAGCCACGGGCTACCAGCGATTGCTCGTGGAGAGCAGCTTCCCAATTTGGAGCTGACTTGAAAAGAAAAATATCGGTTCATTCTGGCCAGTCCTTGTGAAAAAGCATGGGGGAAATCCTGCTGGCCTGGGGCAGAACTCCCAGGGATCCAGTGAAAGCTGTGAGTTAAATCAGTACATGTCCCTGTGCTACTAAAAGCACCTCAGGTTATTAGAACTACCAGGGTTTAGGACAGGAAGTGAAGACGTAGCCCATATTCAATTGAAACTGCAGGGGGAGGTGGCTGGAATGTAGCTACCCAAACTGGACTTTACCCTCCCCTATTTCTGCTGTTTGTTTACCTCTGCTGGACTTCAGTGGGACTAGTCAGTTTCATTTGTATTTAAGGTTGAATTCACATCTAGGCTGTAGCTAAGGCATTGGACTGGGACTCTGGAGACCTGAGTTCAAGTCTGGTCTCCTTCTGTGACCTTAGGTAAGTCACTTAGGCCCAGATCCTCAAAGGTACTTGGGTGCCCCAAATCCCATTAATTTCAATAGGAGTTAGGAACCTCAATACCTCTGACTGAGGATCTGTGCCTCAGTTTCCCAATCTGTTATATGGGGGAAAATAATTCTTCTCTTGCTGAGTTAGTGTGAAAACTTGTGTGCTCTCTTGGACCTTTTCTACGCACACAATCTTGTGCCACTTCACCCACACCAGTATGGTTCAAGCCATGCAATCCCTTTAGTGTGTAGGGACATGTTGAGTCTTGAGAAGAGAAGACAGGCGGGGAGAGGAGGGGAGCTGAAAACTGTCTTCAAATATGTTAGGGGGTGTTACAAAGAGGACAGTGATCAATCATTCTCTGTGTCCATGGAAGGCAGGACAAGAAGTTATGGGCTTAATCTGCAGCAAGGGAGATTGAGGTTAGATATTAGGAAAATCTTTCTAACTCTCGGGGGAGTTAGGCTCTGGAACAGGCTTGCAAGGGAGGTTGTGGAATCCCCGTTATTGGAGGTTTTAAGGACAGGGATGTCAGAGATGGTCTGGGTTTACTTGGTCCTGCCCAGCTGGACTTGATAACCTCTTGATGTCCCTTCCAGCCCTGCAGTGCTGTAATTCTTTGTAGGGCTCCTAGCACAATAGGCCCCCGCTCTTGGTTGCGATCTTGAGGTGACTGTAATCTCTTTGAGGCAGAGACTGTCTTTCTGTTCTGTGTCTGTACAGCGCCTAGCACTGTGGGGCCCTGGTCCATGACTGGGACTTCTAGGTGCTCACGATACAAATATTAGATGCTACTGTAATACAAACAGTTAATAATAAGCTTGGCGAAGGATGATCTTGAGACATCAACGATGGGTTGTTTTTAATGGGATCGCTCATTAGGTTTTAAAAAACTAGGTTTTAAAAACTTTTTACAACCCAACCTAATGCTGACTTTGTCCCCATTCACCATTTGAGATCATTCTGCCATCAGCGCATCGCCCCGGAAACGAGTGCTGGGGTTCATATGACTTCAGTGCAGGGTGGGATACAGGTGCCGGGGCTGGGAAGGGAACAGAAAGACTTTAGATAGTTGCAAACTGGTGAGGTGGGTGGGGACAAGTGAAAGGTGACTCTTTTCATGTGTTGAGTCTGATTTAGCTGGAAACTTCCTCCTCCTGTTGGGAAAGTCCCTCTACAGCCAGATCTATGCCAGCCTAGCAGTGAGGGGTGTGATTGTTTAATGACACAACCGTGCCGCAAAAGCCCTAGTGTGGAAAAGTGCTTTTGCCACCGTTGTCGATTTTTCACTCCCCAAATCAGGACCCGCGATACCGGCAATGAGCTCTTTTGCTGATATAAATGCATCCAGGCCAGGAGGGTTTTGCTAGAGTGGCTATGCTGGCAAAGCTTTTCAATGCAGACAAGGCCAAAATTAGTGGGGCCATGCTGGGTGGGAGCTGGGTGGTACCCTGGGAAGGCACCCTGGAAATCTTTACTCCTTCCAAGAGTGCTGGCTCCCTGCCCAGGAAAGGGTCAGGGAAAAACCTTGAATTGGGGTCTGTGGACCATGTGGGAATGAAATTCCGCCTCCTTAATCCCCTGACTCCTGGAGCTGGGGACTTTAAGAAAAACCCCACACGATACTGCCAGAGTTGGCAACGCTGAATTGTCCTTGACAGCCAAGCCCATGCTGCATGCACTGGCCTCATTGTATTCCCTTCCCTCCCTGTTGATTGCAGGCAGGGGTGGGGGTGACCAGCTCACCCCGTCCAACCAGCTTTCAGCTGCCGTTTATCCCTGCGGTTGAAATGAGAACGTGGCCCCCTTTCCAGCCAGCGGGCGCACTGCATGCCTCCGAGCCGTGTGGGACAAAAGCTCTTTGCGGCCACGCAGACATGTTAACTGACCTCTCCTTAATGGGTCTGCCGTCCTCAGAATTCCCCACCGTTAATTAGCGCAAAGGCTCATTCCCCACCCTGCTTCGCAGACAGAGGTGCCCTTGTGCGTGCCGCCGGCCCCCTGGGAGCCTGGCCCATGTTTGCTCAGGGCCCTGGCACCGTTGTTCTCAGTGGGCGATGTGAGAGGTGCCAGATCATGGCCCTGGATTGGGGCAGTGGCAGGGCAAGCCCCACCCCTGCCAATCGTGCTGTCCCCTAGTATCTGTAAGACAGTGATGCCCAGAGCAGGAATGCAGCTCCCCCTGCTAAGAGCACGGGGGGGCTCCCTCTCGCCCCAGGCTTGGGGTAAGCAGCTCCCCATCCCATAAGCAGCACCTCCAGCCTCACCCCACAGCTCTGCCCCCCACCCCCCGAACACCCTGTCTCCTTGGGTGGTGCAATAAGAACTCCTGTGTTGCAATCTTCTTTAACCCTGGGGAAAGCACAAGACCCCAGCACGAGCAGGGCCCTGTTGTGCCTGGTGCTGGCCACACCTGGAGATGCTGCCTGTCCTGAGCCCGTGTCCTCTAGGGCCAAGGGGAGATGGCTCCCTGTGGCCTGTCCTGCTAGGGGCTAGGCTGAGACCTTCCTGCTCATTTCACGTCTGTCCCCAGGTGGCTGCCAGCATGGCGTAAAGCAGCTGTAGGTGCGAGGCAGCTGGAATCTCACACTCCCATCTCACCTCCTAGGCCCTTGGGCTGGCTTTGACTGTGATCCTCTGCCTGGCACCTCCCCACCATGCCAGGCTGCAGATGTCCAAGTCCTCGCCCCCAGCCCCGCCCTGCCGAGAGGATTACCATGATCTCAATCCATCCATCCCCTGTCACAGCCCATTCCCATCTTCATTAGGGGGAACCGGCCAGCTGGGGACTTTGTTATTTCAGGGTTGGGATTATTGAGCGGTGCCTCTCCCCTGGCTTTGATAAAGGCCGATCTCTCGCTGGCTGCCTGCAGGGCGCCGGGTATACAGAGGGTAACTGGAAGCTGCATGGGCTGGACTATGTTCCGGGCACTGAGCCGTCAGTGCTAACCTGGCCTAGATCTGCGTCTGTTTCACACCGTGGATGGGACCCTTTTCTCTCTGCCTTCCCTTCCCCTTGGTCAGCCCAAACAAGAGCCTGTTTCGGGGGATGGGGGAAAGGGGGCTTTCTTATCGCTCTGCATCTCTTGGCTTTGGAATCAGGTCTCTGCCTTGGACCTACCCCTGTCCTCGCTCTGTGTGTGTGTGTAACATACTTGTAGTCTCTGCAGGGGTGACTTCTGGAGCACATCTCACCCTGGCAAGGCACGGGTAGCGAAAGACCCAGAATGAGGGACCCCCGTAATGCTAATGTAGGAAACTTACCCTGCTGGAAAGGCGTCTATTCCTTTACCATGGATGGCTCTTTCTGTGACCCTGGTGCTAAGGGTCTGCATTCCTGATGGCGGTGACAGCAAGGGGAACGCTGGCTTTTGACCGAGCCTTGGGACTGACATTTCTGTGCGGAGACAGGCAAGCGACTTGCCCAAGGCCACCCAGGAGGCTAGTGGCAGGGCTGGGATTAGAACCCACGTAGCCTGGGTAGTCCCTTAACCACAAGTCCATCCTTCCTCTCGGGGTACAGCCGGCAGATTCCCACCCTAATTCCTGCCTGGGGCCGTGGCAGGTCTCTTCGAAGGGCGCCCAATCTTGATGTCAGGACAGTGGGATCGGCTGGAGATGGGAGGATGGGAGGAATTTACCTGTGGTGCTCCCCCCAACCACCCCCTTCTCGTTGATTGGTGCGGACTTGTTCGTGTCCCATCTCTCTGGATCAACAGGGTTATAAGCTGCTGCCCATCACCGTGGCTTCTGAGCGCCTGAGCTCAGGGGTGTGTGAAATCCCGCCCCCCCTTTCCTTCCTGTGCAAAGGGGTTGAGGCTACAAACCCAGTGGCCCAGCCCAACATCTAAGGCTGCCTAAGCAAACAGAGGGCTCTGTGTGCGCTTCCCCCGGCTGGGGGCGCTGGCCCCTCCCTATTTCCTGCCCTTTTAACAACAACAAGAAAACAGGGGGATTGTTTGTCTTTAGCGCCTGTGGGTTTTTTTGTTTTTTGTTTTTATCCTCCTTCCCCTGCAGCTTTAATGCTGGGAGCTGCGGACAGCTGGACGCTGCCGGGGAGGCCAGAGACCAGGAGAGCCAGCGCCAGGAAGGGAGCCCTCTAGGACGAACCCTGAGCTTCTTCATGAAGATGACGGGCAAGTCGAAGGTAGGAGGGACCATTGGGTTTGTGACCTGGCCGGGGACTGGCTGTTAGGGGGGAACCCCGGGCCTCCTGGTTGGAGCTTGTGATGAGGAACTCCTGGGTTCTCTTCCCAGCTTTGGATGGGGATTGGAGTCTGCTGGTTAGAGCATGTGAGAGAGTGACAGGACTCCTGGGTTCTCTTCCCAGCTGGGGGAAGGAAGTGTTGTCTAAGGGTTAGAGCGGGGTGGGGAATGCCCACGTCTGCTGGTGCTGCGACCCCATCAGCTAAGGAAAATGGTGGGACTTGTGGGAGACCTCCCCTCCCAGGGTGCCTGGCAGCTCAGGTAAGTGGCATTCTCTGTGAGATGTTGGCTCATTACCCCGGTGCTTTTGATCCAGACTGGATCAGAATCAGTAACCTCACGGTGACGGATTCCCTGCGATTCATCCACTGCCCTGGCAGGCAGCTCCATTGGGATGTAACCCCCCCTGCCGTACCCTGGAATTCCCCTTCATTGGGTCATCTGCTCCGCCTCTTGGTTCCTCAAAACCGGGTGTATCTGCAAAGCAGCTGCCTCGTGGTCGAGGAAGTGAAAACCTTTTCCTGCCTCATGAAGGAACGGGTAGGCGGTGCAGCAGGAAGAGTTGGTTTCTCTAGCGAGAACATGCAGTGTTCTGCCTTGCCCACCACGGCTTCCTTTAGTCAGGTCCAGGTCCTGGAGCATGTGTTTCAGAGAGTTTCCTGCCACTGCTTTCCAGTAGATGGGCCCAGGCAACAGATTCTCCCAGGAGCGCTGAGCACCAGCAGCCATTAGTGGGTACGCTGAGCTCAGGACTCTTGGGTTCTATCCCAGACTCCTTGGCCTAGTGATGGTCCTGCTCTGTCATGCCTCAGTGTCCTGTTCCAGGGGGATAATGTTATTTACCCACCTTTGTAAAAATGCTTTTGAGAGCCACATGTGACTAGCCCTATGTGAGTGCTCAGAGCCATTATTTAGGATTGCCTGGCAGCCCCCAGGAAACAGCTAGTTGGCCCCTTCTGACTTGAGCTAATGGGGAATCACCAATACAGGGCTCATGACACATAGCTGGGCAGTGCCGATTCCCTCCACTGGAGGGCAATGGTGCCACATGGACGTTCGCCCATGCTGGCTTGTCTCGCCCTTCCTCTCCAGGGCCGGGCAAACAACAGGAAATGTTGCTTTTCTCTCGATAGCATCTGCAGGGTGCAGCCTCGCTCCTCCTGATGAGCATGGATTAGGCAGCTGGGTTAAACCCCTCTGAGGCTCTTTTGCAGAGCTCTGGCTCTGTAGCCCTCAGGCCCAGCCCTTGCACAACAGGCTGCCATGGGTGCAGAACAGGTGCAGCTGTGCACGCTTGCCTGGGTGCATTATGGGTTTCCCCCCAGTTTCCTCCAAAGCATCCCTCTAGAGATTAGGGGGTGGGGTGGGGTGGGGACCTCTCTGTCCTGATCCCATGTGTAGCACAGATATGGGGCTGAATTCACCAGTGCAGAGCCCAGTAGAAGGGGCTCGCAACTCCCACAGTCCTGGGGCTGGTTGGATCCTGCCCCAGCTCTTACTGCTCTCGGGGTCCCTGGGGCACCTCAGTCCTGCCCCCAGGCTACCTTCAGTGAGGGGTGCGCAGCGCTGGAGCGGCTGGTTCTGTCGTACCCTGGGCTGCCGCACCCAGCACACGGACTCCATCCCTGCTGCTGGCTGGGGGCCCGGAGGATTAAATCCCACCCCCAGATGCCGAGGGGAAGCAGGGCTGTGGACCCTCCGCTCCAGGCGCAGCAGAAACCATTAATCCCGACCAGTCTCCCCAATGTAATCCTTCCTCCTTCCTCTCCGTTCAGGGGCGAGGCGGATTAGCAGCCAGCTGTTCACAGCGTTACCATCCGGCCCAGGAGTACAGACTTGCTCATCCCCCCCTTTTGCACGGTTAAGAAACCGCTGGCAACTTTCAGCGCTTGGCCCCCAGGTGTGGAGGAGGGAGAGGGAATGCCTCCGCTCTCCTTCAGAGGCTGGCTTGGTCTTGTTTTTTGCTCCATTCAACAGCTGTTTCCAAGTCTGTTTCCCCACTGGCCTGCCCTTGGCCTGAGATGATCCAGGCCATCGCTTGATGCTTGAGTCATGGGGCGCCAGGAGGTTGTAGTAATTTAAACCCTCTCCTGTGCATTTCACTGTTGCTTATTAATCATGGGAGGGAGGGAGGAAGGTGGGAAATGGAATGAAAACCTCTCTGTGCCCCGGGAGCCCTGTCTGAGAGTGGGGCCCCCTTGTGCTTACGGACACACGAGGAGAGAAAGTTCCTGCCCCAGAAAAAGGGTGAGAGGGGAAAGGGAGATGCCAGAGGTTACCCAGCAGGCCACTGGGAGTATCTTTGATTGGAGGATCTCAAAGTGTCTTATAGACACGATTGAGCTCAGCCTCGCAGCACTGCATGCCTGCTTTCCAGAGACCGAGCTGTGGGCCGGAGGGGATTTGCTTGAGGTCACTCCGCAAGCTGGTGGCAGAGACTGCCTGGAGAACCCAGGAGTTCTGGCATCCGCACCTGTGCTAACCATTGGATAATACCTCCTGCCTAGCTTTTCCTTGTGTGTGCAGTTAGCTGGAGGTCGGAGGGTGCAGAGGAAGCATTAGAGATGATCAAGACCGAGATTTGAGGCTGGTTAGAAAACCCCAGGGAAGCTGATGTCAGCTGGTTTGGATCCAAAGTGCTTCCTGGAGCCCAAGAAGCAGCTAGAGAACAAGGTTTGAACTGCCCTGCGGTTGCTAGTTTGTTTTGCTTAGAAGGGATCAGACTCGGGACATGGGTCAGGGGCCCCCGGAAAGTTGCTTTCGTAAATTTCCTTTTGAGTAAGTTACCCGACTGAGTCTCTCATTTCAGGGAAGGAGAAGGTGTTCATTCCTTAGCCTCTCCCCCTTCTCTCTCCACTGAGCAGGGTTGCTTTCAGGAAGTCTAGGATTGTGGTTGCAGGGCTGTAGTCAGGAACCAGTTGTTTCTGTCTGACTTTAAAGCGATCTCCAGCCGGACGGGGAAAAATAATCTGTTTAGACGTTCTTTGCCAAACCAGCCGGACACACAGGGCTTCATGTAACAATTGCATCAGGCGTTCTGTCTGCCTAGCAAAACAGGGATGTGCTTAAACTGGGAGCCCGAACTCTTCCCTTCCCCACTAGCTCTTCACCTCCAAATACTAAACCACCGGCCTTTAGAACCTACCTCATCAACACAGGGATCTTCATGAGAAAGCTCAATAATGCTTCGTACTTGGAGGCTTTCATCCAGGGATCTCAAAGCACTTTCCAAAGCAAGATAGAGCGAATCCCTGCTCTAGAGATGGGGAAACCAAGGCACAGGGAGGGTAAGTGAGTTGCCCGAGGTTACCCAGCAGGCCAGGGTCAGAGCCTGGACTAAAACCTGGCTCTCCTAATTGCTGGCCCAGTGTTCCAGCACTAGACTATGCAGCCTCGTGTTTTAAAAGGGACTGGGTAATTTTACGGCCTGTAACTTTGTGCCTCTCTTAGGGGCTGAACCTCAACCTAGATCCTGATGTTGGGGAGATATGGAAATCCCAGTCCAAACTGGCTGATGTCTGGAGAATTCGACTCTGACTCACCCTAAAGAAAGATTCAAGCTGTGAATTTGGACCTGAACCCGTATCGGCATCTGGTGTCTCCATTTCTGACATTAGCTCCCTTTGCTTGATCCCCTGCCTGTGATCTGTGTTCCAGGAAAGCCTGACCCCATGCAATAGCTAAAGAGGACGTGACAATAATAGCTGCTCTCAGGTGGCTGGGAAAAGCTGGGAATATCCTCAAACTTCCCAGCAGGAATTAAATCCCTGGCCATGAATTGCAGCACAGTGGGGAGATGCTGCTAGGTTCCTAGTTGTGCAGCAAGTGGGATTGTTTGCAAGTGACACACAAATGTGCAGAGTAATTTACCCTAATGGCCTGAGCACAGGACTGGGGCCCAAGAACTCCTGAGGTCAGATCCTGGCTTTGACACTGATTCCCTCATGTCATTTGATCTCCAAGCCTGAGCTTTCCCATCTGTAAAATGGGAAAGCGGGGTGACCAAACTGCCCCGCTCCCAAGCGGCAGTCGGATTGCAAAGCCCCATACAACTGCCCAGTACCCTACTATGCAACATGGAAAGAGACTAGGGGCCAGAGTGAAATCGACGCAGCCCTACTGGCCTGTTGGCAGCCTCTTTTCACTTGCTCAGGATCTGATCCTCGTGCCCCCATCCTTGCAGTTGCCGTCTAATAACGCTCCGGACACGCTCCTGAGAAGGTGCCAAGTCGCGGAGGAGATTGCCTGGTATATGGGGAGCTCTCAGCTGTTGCGAGGCCAAAGTGGAAGGTGGGCAGAGGGGTGCTGGAAGCCTTCTTGCCCTCGCTGTGTCTAGCAATCGCGTTCCCACCCTGTCGCCTCCGGGGTCCCACCTTCACGTTACCTCCTGGGCTCTAGGGTGCTGCCAACTTCCCAAGTGGTGAATAAATGTGGCCCAGCTGTTACATGCCCAGATTGCCGATCCTGTGGGGTATTTTTGTCTCTCCAACAATAAGTTTCGACGGGGCCGCCCACCCGCCCGCCTGCGGGTTTGAATCGCCTTCAAAGTGGCACGGAGCGGACGTCTCTCCGCTCCCTGACTCAGCCGCTAATTGAGCCCAGCTGCTTGGTGTTTCTGGGACGGGAGAAGGGCCCTGTCTGAGCCATCAGGTTGGGCCTCTCCCGGTCTGCCCCTGGCGCGGCAGGACACGTGTTGTAATGCAGTCGGCCATTCTAGAACAAGGGATTTTGCTATAGCTGTGTGTCACCTGGCTTTCTCATTTCTTAGCTGCCCAGGTTAATCGCCGGGAGCTAGCTTCCCCGATAAGCGCCAAAAAAGAGCCGTTTCTACCATGCTACACTGCATGGATTTCCCCAAGTCTTCCTCCAGCAGGCAGCCGGTGCAATAGGCTCTGAGTTCTTGCGGGCGGGGGGGGGGCGGGGGAGAAGGAGGAGGTGATTCTCTAGGAGGGGCTCTCTCCATGAACTGACCCAGGAGTGTGCTGCTGAGGGGTGTGTGTGTGTGTGATTTGCTGTTACAGCCAGTGTTGTGTGGAGGAGAGGTGGAACAGAACCTATATCTGGTTCTTCACAGTCCTTTGGCACTTTTTTGCACGAGTGTTAACCCTGAAGTCCTGGCCGCTTGTGGGCACTCACATTTCGCTTCCTTCAATTCCTCAGGCAGTTTCAGTTGAGCATGAGACTCTTCTTTACCTCCTGCCCAAAATGGTTCTGCCGAGTTGCCGTGCAGTTGTTGAGCAGCAGCCGTGCTCCGCGCTAGAAAGGGCTGCCTTTCCGTGCTGAGTTAGCGAGCCGGGTGCAGCACTGCTGTGAGCGACTAAACAGCTGCTGCGTTCCGCCACAGAGGTGGTTGCATTTCTGTGATGAGTGAACAATCCCTGGGCAGCCGTGCTGTGAGCTACGATACAGCTGATGTGTTCCAGCCCATGGGTGGCTGCACTTCCATGCTGGGTGGGTGAGTTGCTGTGAGCTACTAAAGAGCTACATTGTTCCACCCTAGAGGCGGCCGCATTTGCATGCTAGCTGAGTGATCCCTGCCCACTGTGGCTGTGAGCTCCTAAACAGTCGTCGTGTTCCACCCCAGAGGCAGCTGCTCTCTAGCGGTGGGCTAAGCAAATGCAGCAGGCAGTTTGTGTGTCAGTCTGCAAAAGGTTTGGAAGCGCTCCTCCGCCCAGACACTGCTCCAGTGTCCCCTTTTCTTCAACCTCCGCTATTTTTAGACGTGACTCATGTTCTAAAATCAGAATACTTTGTGTGTTTTAAAAATAAACCCACTGAGCTGCTCATGAGCATTACATAGAATTCAGTGCTGGACTGGTTTGAATATTTCACTGGCTAATGAAAACAAAGAGAAACACTCCATCCCAGCGGTTAGGATACTGTTTTAACGGCTGGGGCCGGGCCTAGGCAGAACTTCCTGGGAAGTGATTTATCACATGCTATGGCCACTCCCACAGCAGTTCAAAGATTCTCTTTTAGGACCCGATCTGATGCCCACTGAGTGCTTCCATTGACAGTAGGGCCCTTTAGACCCAGCTGTTAAGAAGCAGGTGAAACCTGCCCTCTCATTTATTTAAAGAGACAAGATCCCAGCCCTGAGGGATGCAGGGAATCTGCAGGTCAGCTTGTTATAGGGCCTGATCCTGTAAGGTGCTGATGCCTGGCTTGGATGGGAGGCTGTGGGAAGGGGTCTCCTCAAAGGCTGGTTCAGCTGTGTAAGTTAATTTTACAGGCACTGCTCTGTGATGCAGAGGGAGAGGGTTGCCAGTTTTGGTTGGACACATTCCTGGAGGTTTCATCACATGACCTCTTTAATTACATTGTCATCTTTAATTCCTGGAGACTCCATGCCAATCCTGGAGGGTTGGCAACCCCAAACATTAAGCCGTCACAATCTAAATAGGGTAAGCCGGCACGGGACAAAGACTGACCAGGAGGGGGCAGGGACAGGGGTTGAATCCCAGATCCAGCCGCCTCCACGTACTGGAGGCAGGAGCGAATCCCAGCTTGGATCCAGATCAGAATTTCTTAACTGACCACCTGTCCCGCTAATGGGCCAAACCAAGTCCCTGGATCGGAACAGAGCGAAAGTGGGTCCAAACTTTGCGGCTGGGATCCATAGCAAGAGTAAAATGAAATCAATAGGACCAAACGCTGTGACCACTGTGGAATTTGTATATGTAAATTGTGTGATTTTTATATCTACCTATACACATGTATAGTGTGCGTGTGATTATAGAGAGTGTGTATGTATGTATATATTTTCTAACCCATTTTTACTTGATGGGCAGAAGGTTGAAAGCAAGAACTGTATGCAACAGATGCTAATTGTGCTCCTTAATGCACCACTGGAATGGGCTCAGATACCAGGGTGATGGACATGGGACTTGATAGGATTTTTGTCAACAACAATGAACACTGCTCAGCATTTCTGACGTGGGTAACTTACGAGGGATGGAACCCAACGATGGGGTTGAAACTTCCCCAGGGTCTGGAAGGTACATCGGGTGTGTGTGTGTGTGTGTGTGTGATGGAACATTTTGAGTTCAGCCCCACCTCTGTAATGTAAAACACTGAGCATGATAACATCATCAGGTGGGGGTGTAGCTGAGAGCAAACGTAGGTCTGTAATGAGAGGTGATAGGGTAGGAAAGTCCCCGCTGAAGAGCGACTGCAGTGATATAATGGGAGTGGAATGTTTTGAACAGCTGAGTGGGATCCCCACCTGTACACAGAAATTCTTAGTGATTGAGACGTTCCAGCAGACTGAAGGAAGCTCATTAAGCTGCCAGTCAGGCTGTGTCATGGTTGGAAGGAGGAAGCATCAGACACAGGTTGGGTTAGTTTATGCAGACAGGGGTGGTGTTACAGGGTCCGGGTTATTTGCATAGGTGCCAGAACTAGGGGGACTGCCGCACTCCCTGGCTTGAAGTGGTTTCCTTCATATACAGGGTTCACAGTTTGGTTCGATGGCTCTCAGCACCCCCACTATAAAAATTGTTCCAGCACCCCTGGTTATGTGGTATCTATTGTTGGAAAGTATGTAGCAAATCTCCATTGTGGGGGAAAATCTGCATAATTTCAACTATCGAGCGGAGACATGGAGGAGGATCTGAAAGAGAGGGGGTGTTTCTGGGGGAGGTCTGGCAAGGAAGCACTATAATAATACCTTGCCTTCCTCTAGCAGGATCTCCAAGCAAACACAAATGCAGCCACGCACCACCCCGGGGGCAGGAGGTGTTGTTGTTGTCCTCATTATATAGATGGAAAAACTTAGGCACAGTGGGTGGACACCTCTCAGACACAACGTCGCATGGTGAAAGGTGCCAGTGAAATACATAGAATGAACAGGGAGTTAGTATCAGAGCCAGGAGTCCAGATTTCCAGGCCCCTCCCGCAGCTCTAACCTCTAGACAGTACTCCCCTGCCCACAGGAGGGCTGCAGGGAATCTGCATTTGGCCCTGTTTTAAGGCATGATCTGGCAAGATGCTGATCACTGGCTTCAATGGGAATTTGAGTCCTCCCAGGAGGCAGCTTGTGGGGAAGAGACTCCTCAAAGATTGATGAAGTCAGAGCTGGGGATAAAACACAGCAGTCCTGGCTCCCCAGCATCTGCATTAACCACTAGACCATGCTCCCTCCATAGAGCTGGGGATAGAACTGCAGAGTCCTGATGCCCAGCTTCCTGCTGTAACCACTGGACTCCCAGATTCTGTTCCTGGCTCTGCCACTAACTTACTGTGCAACCTTAAGCATGTCACTTCACTTCTTTCTGTGCCTTGGCTTCCCCATCTATATAATGGGCATATTGAAGCCGTAGGGAATGGGGGAGCAAGCCATGGTGATGGCTGAAACTTTAATTCTTAAGATGTTGTTTTCTCTGTATTGCACCTTCCAAATGTCTAGAGAGCTGCTGTCTGTCATGTATTAGGTGTCTGAAGGTGCAGCTCCTGTTGTGACAGGCAGAGTTGTGTAGCATGTTACAGAGGAGCTATACACACTGTGGTCTTCCCCGGGGAGACTTGACTTTGGTTCTTTATTGTTCCGATTTTCCATACTCTGAAACAAACCGTTCAAACTGTAAGTATAGTTTTTCTGTTTGCATATAGAAGCCATAAGAGCTGGGCTGGTTGGGGTGATTGCTTAGGTGCTGTGCTTGGATAGGTGAGCAAACATCACCCCAGCTTTCCTCACTGTAACAGGGGAGTAATGATTGATCTCTTCCTGTGTGAAATGTTCCCACGCTGCAGGGGACTTGGCTGATCACATACAGCTGCTGGTTTCCGCTCCTTGTTCAGAGGAGCGGAGCAGAGGGGAGCGGGGAGATGAAGTGGAGAACAAAGGAAGCAGGGTGACTAAACTGAAAAGGACAAAACCTCGCTGCCCTTGAACTGAATCTAAGCAATGACTGTAGCAATCCCAGTGGTGTAGCATAAGTGGGAGAGACATTGGGCTGACGGGTGGGGAATGCCCATGAGACAAGATGTGAGCCACTACCGAGAAATAGATTGAGAGTCCCTGGTCCAGAGCTTGACCTGCTCAACGCACCTGGGGTGATGGATGAGGAAACGGAGGGACAGAAAGGTGAAGGGACTCACAGAAGGTCCCGCAGTGAGCCACTAGCAGAGCTAGGAATCGAACCTGTGGCTCTTGCTTGCCAGGGCTTGATTACACACCAGGTACAAAACTGAATTGGAATCACAGCTTTAGTTCATCACCAGGGCAAATCCCACAGGAACATGGGCCTCCTTGCAGAGCAAGCGCCGCCTGGATCGGTCTCTGGCTAGTCCTCTAGGTGGGCTGGCTGGCTATGCGGCTGATGTTGTCATTGGCAATCTTATTGGGCCACTCTGAAGCTTTTGGTACCCACGTGCCAGCCAGCTAGCAGCCTTCCTTGGTAAAAGCGCTTCAGAATTTGTTGGTCTTCTCCTAATCATACGCCCGTGCTGAGAGAGCTGCTGAAACCAAACCAGGGCTGAGGGTGGCCATTAGGGGGTTTGCCTTTGAATATCCTCCTGGCTGATTTTTGGCCTGGAGAATCGCACACCTCAATCCGCTGCTCTCCATCCTCCCTCAGCGCTCACGTTCCGCGGCCGTGCACTAGCGTTGGTGTTAAACTGTTGCAACTTTGTGGCCGGAGCGTGCCCTGTTCCTTGGGGCTAACCACTCACCCGCACTGCCTCATGGACAATTCCTAGTATTTAAACAATCCCCTCAGTTGCTACGGGAACCAGGTTGGTAACGTTCCCTACGTTGCACCTTTTGTTGAAACCCAACACGAGCCCAACACCCCCACACACCAGCCCCCACAAATTCTGGCAGAAACAGCTCCTGAATTCCACGCATCACCTGCTTTACCCCTCCCTCCCCGGCTCCTG